CTTATTGTACACAATGGAGAGACTAGACATACTGAGACATTTTTCTTGTAAACGATGTTTCAATCATTGTTCGATAATTAAAAGAACCTTAACAACACTGTGATTGCAACATTCCTTTAACAATAATATCACTTCGTTTCCTAATAATCATATTGCAATCCCCGTTTTGTATTTACTTGATCGGTGGCAGAGTAGAAAACTATAAAACATTCCTTGAGCTTTTTTTTTCATACACAAATTCCAAAATTTCATATTTCGTGTATTTTTACGACATACTGCATATTATTGAAAAATATTTATAATATTTTAAAAATGCGAAATTATAACTTTTACGACAAATACATATGTGACAAAGTTTACAATTTAAATATGAAACAAAGCATGAAGAATTAATCTTTTTTATATTTATATATATAAAACTATAATAAGAAAAATGTTATTTAAAATAATGTATAGAAATATGGGATTTAACATATTTTATAGATATTTAGTATTTTTTTCTGATAATGTGAATCAAACAATAATTAAATAACAGAAATTAAATTGATTGAAGGAATGTATAAATGAAAACTGGACAGTTTGAATCAATAAATATTTAACAGTTACTAATATGAACGTGATGTAGGCAACATAAGTCACTTTCTGCTTTGCTTTTCCTAATTGCATGTACATACTTAGAAAATAGTACATCCTAGAACATAAAATTTTTATTAAAAACCCATTATCTTTGGCTACTTTGGGTATGTTTATTTAAATAATTATAATATAGTAATATTGTACAGCTTGAATTAGAGTACAAGATGAATTTGTAACGCATAGCTTTGCTTTACATCATGTGTTGCCCGTTTGGTGGAGCATATTGCGATTGCTGATTTACAGGTCCTGTAGGTCCAGGTGGACCATATGGCCCGGGTGCTGGGCCACTTTGAGGTGGATATCTGCTACGTAATATATTAAATTATCACTTCTTGTATTAAAAAAAGAAAAGAAAAACATAACGTTCAATCAGTAAAACATGCAATTAAAGAATTGCAATATAATAACATAAAAAGATGTATTTGCACATGCGTTTGTATAACAATTGTAATTTAAGTAAGAAATGTCGTGAAACTTGAAAATATTCTTATAATAATTTTGATCATAGCGAACTTTAACATCGATGTTGCGAGATAAAAGGGAAAAAAATCAAACATATTAAACATACCCTTGTGGTTGATAAGGTAGGTTATTTTGATCAGGCTGCGGCAAAGATGACCCTTGTGGATGTCCAGGCGGATGTTGGTGGGATCCCGATTGGACATGAAAATGTTGGGGTAAAGTCATGTTTGGCATACTGGTAGGACCCATGTACTCGGTGCTCGGCAAACTCGTGTTATACGGTCCCACCGGGCCTGAGGCAGCTCCAGTGGGGAACGGAGAAGGCGGCATACCATTAAATATCTATTGAAGAACGTAACAATGTCAAGATGTTCGCGCTATTGTAAAGATCGTTACTTAGAATCTGTCGATGCACTTACGTGCGTTGGTGGTGGTCCCGGATTGTGGAATGGATAAGGACTTATATGTGGCTGCATTTTAGGCAAAGTGTAACCAGACGGCGTTGTCCAAATCGGAACTCAATTGAGTAAGCTGCGCATGCCGCCTGTCTACTTTTTCCAAAGCCGCGTCGATCAAAGGTCCCATTGCCGTAACTTGATCTGCATAATGTAATAAATGGAAATAATGAATATATTTATATTTTTCTAACTTAATGTTTTCAACAAAATTCGTAGTTACCTTCTAAATCGAGCATTTCCTGAGGATCGGAGGTATCACATTGTGGATCAGCTTCATGAAGCAGATGTAATAATCTATCCATTTTCTTTTCATCTATTTCAACTTCCACCACTTCAGGTTCACGTTTTACCATTTTTACTTCTACTTCTTCTGCGAATTGCACTAATTTCTTGTTACTATGTTCCAATTCTACACATAAATATATCATACATTAATTCAATTACAAATATATAATAAAAATTTGAGGACATTCAATCTTTAGTGTATAAAAAAATTTATTAAATCATATATATTTTACTTGTAAATTCTTCTGGTTCAACAGACAAATCAGCAGTAACAAAATTGGAGGGAAAGATTTTTTTAAAGAGCCCTTCGCCTCTTTGATTACTACCTTTCCACCAATTCGGATGAGAATCGTCCAAAATGTTAACTAAAAAACCAAATTCAAAATTAGAAATTCGAATATTTATCTCTAATATTTATCACCGTGTATGTAGTTTATGCTTTCATATTATAATCTTCATATACATACTTATTTCTCCCGCTAAGAATGTCAGTTCATTATCCTCTGCAGCTTCAAAATCATACAGAGCACGTACTTTCCTGCCTTCTTGGGAGGTGTTTGAGGCACCTCCAAGCACAGAATTCATACTAGGATATAAACTAGTATTTTTTTTAGAGGCTGGCGAGCTATGCGATGAAGTGCTTTGAGTATGAGTTTTACTTTCTTGCAATGAAAGTTGTATGGCTGTAAAATATTGTTTAATAATAATAATTAAATATAAAAATATATAATACAGGTAAACTTAAAACACATTATTAAATATATAATGGAAACAATATTAAGCTTACCTCTTGCAATATCTGATTCTTCTTGCGAATTTGTTACTACATTAGGATCTCTGCTTATAGTGCTAGAACGTTTTGGCTAAAAGACATTGCATTTTGAATATGTAAAAAAGATTAAAAAATATTGAATTAATAGTGTTATAAGCCTAAGTCTATATGTTAAAGTACATGCAATGACTTATATAAAGTAACTACTTATGTGATGCAATATAAGAGAAACATATAGTATCAATAAATGTTAGCTATCTGACTAATTTAAATAATACAACTTAGTCTAGATTTGTAATTTAATATTTAATTTTCATAAATATAGTTAATAGAATAAAGGTACAGTAATAATGTAGCAGGCTAGAAACTCACCGTATCCGAGATAGAAGAAAAGTCATGGCCTTCGCTTCTCAGTTTATTATATAAACTTGGAATCAGATTCAATTGCGGATCCATCTTAAAATCACCTTCTACCCATTTTTTTAAAAGTGCTTTAATTTTATCTACTATTTTCGGTTGTGGATGGTTAATAAGCTTTCTCAAATCATTTTCAAAATCTCTGGACGCAATTTCCAAGTGAAAAACTTTTCCACAATTACTGGTGCAAGCATCCAACAACTAAATAAAAAATAGCAAATTAAAAACTTGATAAAATACATTGAGATATTTAGATTCCATTAATGTAAGATTAACTTTAATCTTGTTTAACTTAATATTTATTTTTTTTTAAATTCTAAGAATTAGAAAAAGATAAAGAATAAATTGGACCGAAATTAAAGTTAATCTTATATTAGAGTAGAATCATGCCTTATTGTTAAAGAATGTACTAACTGTTATAGCTTGCATGACCACATGAGGGTCCTGACAGTACAATCTTTTAACGATAGAACGTAAACAGTCCTTAGCATTTTGACTGGATGTGCCGACTTTGTCGCAGATATCCATTATCTTTCCCCATTCTTCCGTTACATTGTTCTCATTAGTTGCCTTTTCTGATCCAATATAATCACAAATCATGATTTAATGGGATAAATAGGTATTCAATGGCATGCATAAACAAGAAAATAACAATTTCTTTTTAATAAAAATATTGAGATAATTAAGAAGATAACATGGGTTAACTCGCAGACGTCATAAATAAAATGTAACAAAGGGACGGGCGTTTTTTCATCATGTTGTGACACCCAGGTGAGATATCACGGCAAACTGTCATCGGGCGTGAAATCGCTGCTGTCTCGCGCGTATGGTCAGTGCGTCAAAAAATGTGAAAGTCGGATTTAGGCGACGGAGAAACAGCATGAAAGATCTGACGATGTTGCCGGAGGAGGTCAAATGTCAACAACCGTTTAATACGCCCAATGCAGAAAACGAATCGTTCCCCGTGTAAATCTACAAAGAGTAATCGCAGGCTCTCACGATAACGCGTGCAGCGAGAGGCGGCGTACTCGACCACGGTATCTGCTGATGCGCGTATCAGATAAGGGGCCGTGAGGAAACCAGGATATTACTCACCGACGTCAGCGTCGAAGGGCGAGGAGGTTTGAAAGAGGCCCATCGTCGCGGCTCTCTCGTGGAACAGCCGTGAAGATTGTTCCTAATGTCGTCGCGCTCGCACGTCGGCACGCCGTCGCGGAATAGCGCTACGCATCCAGCTGATATTTACTCACAAACGTCCGGCCAAGCAAATGATAGGATGATACTCCACTCCGCCGCATTAACGGACATCTTTGCCCCCGGATCAGCTAAGAACCTATCGATACCTAGATATCGATTTCTATCGATACTTCTCGATATAGACGAGGTGCGATCTATTGGTAGGGTTGGGTATTAAGGTACCTTTTCATGCTGACGTTCGACGCTCATTTTCGGCGTCAATATAAATCACGTGATAGAAATTGACGAATATCAAGCGTTAATTTTGATCACGTGACCTATTTTGACGCTGAAAATGAGCGTCGAGCGTCAGCATGAAAAGGCACCTTTATGCGTGACTAGGAGATAAAGTGCGTTCGGGGAGACGCTATTAGCGCTATTTCTGTCATTCTATCCTTGTTTTACGTCTAATAAACAACGAAGATAGAATAACAGAAGTAGAGCTAATAGCGTCTCCCCGAACGCACTAAATAGGTGCATTGGGTGCATTCAGTACTACAACCGCTCACTGAGCGCTGAGTGAGCTCTTGCATCTGATTGGCATATTCCGTTAGAACTAAAAATATAGACCAAACAAATACAAGAACTCACTAAGCGCTCAATGAGCTCTTGTATCTGTTTGGTCTATATTTTTAGTTCTAACGGAATATGCCAATCAGATGCAAAAGTTCACTGAGCGCTCAGTGACCGATTGTAGTACTGAATGCACCCATTATACTAAAGTAAGAGATCCCTAACCTTTAGATTGACTGAAGTGTTTCTAACACACATTGCTTTTCCAAAGATTTTGAAAGATTTCCAAGTTACTTAAATCAGGCCTAGAATGATGAAAAGAATTGTCATTGCAATAACTTCTGGAGTTATCGTGTCAGAAGTAATGTGGCAGTTGTACAAGAAATATAATCATTCTCGGAAGAAAGTGATTAATACTTCCAATTCGAATGGTTCTGTAAAGCAGCTTTGCAAAAATACAGAAGCAAAATTCTTCGAAGTCATGTTTTTTTCACAAGACTGTACTTTATGTCGACCACATTTAAGATGTATGAAACCATGTGCAAAGCTGAATTGTCCAGTAAGACACTTAAGGTAATTTTTTCAGTGATATAAAGGCAAAATAAAATTATTTATTCACGTCTTTCTCATAGCTTGCAACTGTATAGAACATATCTGATGTATTTGCAGGAGGATTATATATTATTTAGATTCTGCAATTCATACTTTGGACATATGTATATATTTCTTTACATTTACGGAATTGGCAGAGGCAATTATAAGGGCCAAAAACAGAAATGTTGTCGTAAGGATCATATTGGAAGATTCCATGACACATACTGATAAAAGTCAAATAATGAACTTTTACAAAGAAGGTTTGTGACAAGTATTCTGAAACATATATGGTATAATTTAATTAGATACAAATATATGAAAAATTTAATTGCAAGACATAATCTTATGTTAAATTTATATAATGTCTTACAACTTAGTATCAACCTAGTTGACATTATTTTGCTTTGCAGGCATTAAACCAGTGTTCAAATCATTAGACGTCTTAGTGCATCATAAATTTGTTATTATTGACAATAACATTGTAATGACAGGCAGTATAAACTGGACTAAATCAGCGTTTTTTGGAAATTTTGAAAATGTTTTAGTGACTAACGAATCAGCAATAGTTAAGCCATTTGTAAATGAATTTGAAAGGATATTGACGATGCTCACTGCTACAACTACAGAAACTAATTCTGAAACTTTAGATATACATTAACAATTTATTTTAAATGTATTTACTTACATTAAGTAAAGAACAGACATTTTTTTAATGCTTTTATTTTTAATAGATTCAGACCAAGATTCTTGGACTGTGATATGCTGACTTGTTTAAAATAAGTTATAAGAAAGTATTTCATGAAATTTAATTTTTATTAAGATTAATTTTAAACTTAAAAGATTATGTAACTTACCTATGTTTAATTTTGTATGCTAAAAATCTTTATAAAAGTATAAAGAGACGGATGAAGTTTCCTCATGTGTCAATCTTACGTGAAATCATTTTCTCTGAAGTTCTAATCTAAGAACACATTTTATCTATACGTGTGTATAAATATAATATTTCATGTGATATTTACACATTTTCTTTTTAACTTAATAACTTAATAATTGCCTCATTTCGTTTTGTATGTACGTGTATCATGTATTTCTGCCTCGAAATAATTGATATAACTACGAGATATACTAATAGGATTTAATTCTCTAATCGGATGAATCTTTGTGTTTTGGTGGATTAAATTTGATGCAATAACACGTACGGCGTGGGTGTACAAAAGGGAGTTGCCATGACGATTCTGACGTCATTGTGGTACTGTCTTGGTATTAAGGATAGCCTTTGTTTTCGCACAAATGAAGCTGCGCTCGTGATGCATATTGATTTTCTTTAATCGGGAACAGTCACGGTCTTCGGAGTTCATGGTCGCATATAAAGAGATCTGAAAGAGAAATTCAATTATAGATGTGCGTCATTTAATATAACATGTTTAATGCAACGTTATTGTTTTATTTTATTTTAGTTAGCCTGTGATATTTAAAGAGAAAGAGGCAATATTCCATTTTATGATGTTTAGTACATAAAAAAATGTATGTTATCGTACTCTTAATTATTGTTAAATAAATTTAATGTGAACTGTGCATGTAATTAATTATATTTTTAATATTTCTATAAGAAAACGTATGCAACAATTTTAAAAAATTTATTTTTCTAATCTTATTATTTTTTCTCTTCATTAATGCGAGAGAAATTTGTATCAGGATAGAGATAATTAGAGATTTGCAAAATAGATTTGTAAGAAATTTGAACTTCATCAAATAAATATGTTTTTATAAAAATATATATGTATTTCTTATTGTAGAAAGATGACAAGAGAAAACAATTAGACATTGTAGCATGATTTATAAGTTAGATGTGGACGATTCCTTGTCATAAGCAAAAATGAATTTTATACGGAAAAAAAGTAAAGAAACGATCGAGACAGATAATATTAATCCGCAAAATTAATAATTAGATAAATCTAAAAACAGAAATAAAAAATAAGCTTCGTCTTTCAGAGAAAAGTTCAAAATGTTACGACACAATTTCATGTATATGTCATCATATATAGTATCACGTTATTCTATAAATTCTCGTATTTAAAATTTCTCGTATGTATTTAATTTAAAACGTATATATTATTATAGATGCGCGTTCAGTAATCTAAATTTTATTCTTACAAATTTGTTCAAAACTTTATAGACAAAGTTTAATAAAACATTATTATTAATATCATTATGATTAATTAAAAACGTATCAAAGCATCTATTTTCCGTAGCAAATTTCAAATGTTGCGTTTTAAATTATCCGAATATTTGAAATATTTGGCGACTCCGCGCCTGCGCAGTGCGCGTCCGTGATGCGCGCTTTTTCAGCCGCCATGACACTTTCGGCTGCGCATCGCGTCGGTTTGGGTCGTAAACAGTGCCATGATGTTTCGCGAATTTTAACTTTCGATAGTGCGTAATAAACGTGAATTTTTGTCAGCAGTACCGATCAAAGGGACGGGCGATTATTGAAACGTGTCTGTTGCGGCGGATTTTCGCGATCGATGTTGTTTCGCGGTTACAATTGACGTTTCGTTGCTACACGAAATCATGGCATCCCGATTCAAATTTCGGTAGGTATAAATTCCAGTGACAGGGTATGCGAAAATGATCCTTACGCGCGAGAGAGGGCTTCAGCACAAAGATGGTCGTAATTGAGTCGTGAAACGTGAGTCGTAGTCGTAGGTCAACGTTTTGGTCAACCTACAACTACGACTTACGTTCCACGACTCGGTTACGGTCATCTTTTGTGCTTAGACCCTTAATTAGATCATCCCGATCATATCTAATGAAACATTCGTTTGTTACAGATAAACAATATATGAGATACCTAGCGAAAAAAATTTTTATGAAAAATATGCTTTGCCTTTCTGATTCCATCAATTGAGACAAGTTCTTAGAAATTTCTTAGTTTTTCGTAGATATATCTATATATTTGTACAAATATATTTGTAGTGGGAGACTTAGAGAGGGATACGTAGAGTGAGGTTTCTTTGTCTTAGAAATTCAATCTTAGGCCGGTATTCGTAGTCAGTTCTTATTTCAAGATCGTCTTAAGTAATGTCTTAAGCTAATGCGGCCTTCTGATTGATTCGTGACGCCTCAAGGCTGAGCTTAAGACGATCTTGAATACAAGGACTGACTATGGCTATGTTTACATCGTGCGCTTAGTCCGCGACCTATACAATAGGTGTCTTTGTTTAATATACAGGATAAACAAGGACATCTATTGTATAGGCCGCGGCCTAAATGCACGGTGTAAACGTAGCCTATGAATACCAGCTTTAGTCTTTTGTTTATTCGTAGAATGGCGTGTTTGTTTCGTGATACAATAAAATACAAAAAAAGGTTCCGTAAAAACTTTTAACAGAGCATCGGAATTAAGACATAAGAAAGGCTGGAGGATTTCTTAGTTTTTCAAACAAAAATCCCACTCTACATCCGTTACGAATATATCTATGAAAAACTAAGAATTTCTAAGATTTTATTTATGCAGTTTTTCATAAAAATTTTTCCACAGGAGGTATACAACAAATTACAACTGTACATCAATTCCCAGCAAACAAAATTTTGATATCAAAATGTCGATAAATAATCATCTTGTTGGCTGGGTTATAGATAATGAATTTCCGACAGTTTCGTTAAGGGGTGCGTTTTTGTCGTACGACACATTTTTTAAGCCTGTGATTGGCTACAAGACAGAGCGATCGGAGGGGGGACCTCTCTGTTCTGTACATTTGTCGTACGACGAAAACGCATAAATGAAATAGCACCCAAGGTTTGTTCGCATTGCAAGCTCCAACGTGATCCACCATGCTCCTACCATAACTCTTATTCACTCCAACGCGCTTGATAGAATGAGTAGGAGCTATGGTAGAAGTATGTTGGAGCATGTTGGAGCTTGCGACGCGAACAAACTTTAAATTCTGGGTGATTATAGTATCCATGGATGACGATAAATCGCGATGGTAATCAAGAAACACTGTCGTATCCTGTGTCGAGATTTACGTTTACTCGCATGATAACAAATGAATGTTCGATAGTTTCATCAAATGAATTCTGTACGATCATAGATAGCATTATTCGGGGTTTGTGTCCTAAGTAAATTTTTATCACTTTAAAAAATTACAAAAATTATTAAGTGATTTATATATATATACTTAATATCTTTCGAAAGTATTTATAAAGTTTATTTAAAAAAAGTTGTATATAAATATTATAAGTAATTACTTAATTGGTGCTTTTAGTTTTTTGAATAAAAGAAACATGTAGAACACGAATTCTCTCAGTTGTGCGGTGTACTAAGGATTAAAATATGATGTGGTGATTGAATAGATAAATTTTTTATTAGCCGCGATTACTGTTTATTCCCAGCAGGGCTATTCTGTAACTCTTAACGCAAATTTCGTTAGCGTTATAACATTCGTTGCGCAGCTTTTTTATCATGGTAACGATAACGATAACGAAACTTGCGTTAAGAGTTACAGAATAGAGGCCCAGATAGCAAAATGTCTACAATCTTCTAGCAGACTGTCAGTAGATTCGAACAGAAAATGACGGCAGTCTGCCATCAACTGCATCCGCATTAGGCTTGTGTTCTGTTAACATCGCCTATCGACATCCCAAGTAGAACACGGAGTCATAATTAAGTCATAATGGTATCACAGAACGTCATCATGATGTCATTTGATACCTAAAAATTGACTTATAAGTGACGAATGAGGTCATGATGACGTCCTCATGACTTTTATGTTCTACTTGGGATAATGTGAAGGCAAATTGTTGGCAGAAACTGAGCAGATCCTGCCGACATTGTCTGATTCTGTTGTTTTTTTTTTAGCAGTCTGTCAACAGTATTATGTACATCTAATTCTGTAACAATTCTGTTGCTATTTTGTTGGCATAGTGTGTAGCAGACATTTAAAAAATCTGCTTTTTACAGACTTAGCTATCTGGGTAGTTATTCTATAAAATTATGAAGTCAAAGTAGTTATTTATAATCGTTGTATTGTGCATAATTAATTAAAATGTGGAATTAATTGAAATAGTAATTGACAATAATGACAATAATCTTTTCATTAGTTGTGATTACTACTGTATTTATTCCGTAGATTAAAATCACAAAATCGATATAGGTAGTTATTTTTGTGATTATTACGTTTTTAAAATTTTGTACGTGAGTTAATATGAATTATAATTAAAATTCATGGTATTTATGTGTAATAATCGAGAATATATATAGCTATAGTGTAATTGGTAGTTATACGTAGTAATTAGCACTGAATGCAATCATTTTCTGATTAGTCGCTATCATCGCTTGTAGAACAGAAACGGAAAATCGATATAATTAATGCTGTAATTACAGTTGTAATTAACGCTCTTATCATAGTTGTAGAATAATATGGTTGTAGAAAACACTTTATTTAATTAGAATATAGAGTAATAAATGGCACTGGTCGTGATTACTTTTTTATTAACTACAGTTACTGCTTGTAATTGTTTTGTAAATTAAAAGGATAGAAGGAACTATCTTTTAACCGCTTGAGCACGAGTCTGATATAGAATTTATGTCAAATCTGGGATTATCTCGGACTATTACGTACTATGAACTAACGACCTAGCTGTGGCAGGGATTGATTCGAAGTTATGATTCCTCGGATATATTCTGAGCTAG